TTTTTTGCGGTACGCGGGCCTCTCACTATTGTGGCCTCTCCCGTTGTGGAGCACAGGCTCCGGACACGCAGGCTCAGCAGCCATGGCTCACGGGCCCAGCCGCTCCGTGGCATGTGGGATCTTCCCAGACCGGGGCACGAACCCATGTCCCCTGCATCGGCAGGCGGACCCTCAACCACCGTGCCACCAGGGAAGCCCTATCCGCTTTTAAGTTTAGCAAATTGAGCATTAAACTAGGAGCAAACAAGAATGAGTGTTCTTTCCCATTGCAGAAGCTCCTTAGGCACTGGGGACCCTGGCAGCCTGGGAAGTAGGACATGGGTGATGGGGTTTGTGGTGGGTACCAACGCCAGATGCTCCCTGCAGATAAGTGATGGGGGCTGGGGCACAAGAGCAGCCGTCCATCCAGAAGGACATAAACTGGACACATTTGTGGGGCGGCTCTCCCACTGCGTTGCTGCAACAGAGGGAGGACACCCCCGTGGAGACCCCAGGCGGGTGGGCAGCTACTCCTCATGAAGGCCCTGGAACCCCAAGGGCTCCCGCTTGTGCCTCACGCTCAGTGCTGGGTGAGCTCAGAATCCCCTTCCAAGCTGGAAGCTATGGTTCTGAGAGCAGAAACCAGCTGCCAGAGCACCAAGCCTCGGGGTTGGCAGAGCCGCCCTGTGGACCCCCGTCTGCAAAGGGGTCCTCCCGTGACGCAGCCCAGAGGCCCCCCGTAGGTCCAGAAGCCACTCCAGGAAGATGGCCGGACACCCCTGCCTCAGCTGTCAGGCCTCAAGCCAAGACAGGACCACAGTGGGGGGAGGTCTAAGGAGGGGCTGTGGTCTCCGTGGACATCTGAGATGGTTTCTCCCTGAGTTCGATCCTCTAAGCCGTCAGCCAGTGGCCACCTCGCTGCCTCTCTGATGCTCCTTGGGGACTCTGACACGGAAGTGCACACCCAGCACTGACTTGTTGTTGGCCTGAATGAATGAACAGTTGGGCAGACAGACAGATGGACAGCACGGTTTCTTCACTCTGGACCACTGCCTGCCCAGGCTGATGAGTACTCTTGACTGGGCTGCAGATTTTCCTTCACGACTCTTGACGCTTCGTTCAGAGCTCTTGCCTTTTCTGGTCCCCACGCCTCACCCCATAAGCCCTTAGCTGTTTTTTCTCTGTTGAAAGAGTCCTGATCCTTCACACCAAATACCTGTCAACCCCAGGCCCCCAAACCTCTTCTTTCCCTTTTCCCACATATTCTTACACCAAGTTCTGTCTACTAGAAATACGATGTGAGCTACTGATGCAGCTTTAAGTTCCCTCAAGAAACAGGTGAAAATAATTATAACATCTTATTTAACCCCATGTATCTAAATGCTATCATTTCTACATGTAATCAATATTTTAAAAATCAATGAGCTATTTCACTTTTTTTTTTTTTTAACTATGTCTCTGAAATCCAGTGTATAAGTGTGTTTGGCCAGGCCACATTTTGAGAACTCAGAGCTACCTGTGGCTGCCCTAGCCGAAATCGGGCCCAAGCCTGTTGGGAAAGGAGACACCTGGAATCAGGGCCGATGAACGTGGCCCGGGCAGCGGGAGGTGGGCTGAGCTTGGTGCAGCCTCCGTGTCCCCATCTGTGAGATGTGGGCGTGAGGCCCACCTCCCAGGAGTGGCGAGGAGGGCCTGGTGCAGATGCACAGTGGCACCTGGGTGAATCTAGCTGTGTGGTGGCCTTGGGGCGTTTGAATAGGACCTGGATCTCACAGGTGCTGCAGCAGGTCTGGGACACGTGATGGGCAGGTGGGCGGTCCCTGACCTCTGCTGCTTTTCCTGGTACCCCTCAGGGCCCAGCAGAGAAGAATGTATTCACTGTGCCCCAAATTTCCACTTCCAAGACTGGAAATGTGTGCCAGCCTGTGGCGAGGGCTTCTACCCTGAGGAGATGCCGGGCTTGCCCCACAAAGTGTGCCGAAGGTATGTGTGCCTTCCAGGCAGTCCTCCTGACTTAGCCCGAGATGGCCGGGGAAGGGCGGTCAGCGGTTCCTGTGGAGGAGTGGCAGGAGGGCTGGGTCTGGTGGCCCCTGTCCCAGGGGCTGGGGGCAGGGTGTGCCATGTTCCACGACAGCAGTGGGTGCAGTGGGAAGACAGGAACCCGTTTACAGAGGAGGGGACCCTGCAGGGGGTGATGGCCAAGGTCACAGTCAGGTGGCGGCCCTCATGCCTTTGTTCACGTCCTGAGTATCTGTGGAGACCTACTGTGTATGAGGCGCTGTGTGGCTGGTAGGGCAGGACGCGGAGGATGGGGCCCTGACTGGCTTAGCCACCACCCCGGGGCAGATGCCAGGGAGCCCCACCTGCACCCCGGACCACAGTGTGTTCACAGCATATCATTAAGGAAACGACGTGTAGGATTTGTTTAAAATTTAAATTGGATAATTTAGAGAAAATACAAGATCCCGACAACTTCCTTATTCTAAAGCCACTTCCAGCCAACGCAGAGATGTTGTAACCCTGCTCGTTCTCCTTTTCTGCTCCCTCCCGTGTGTCCGCAAGGCGCACCCTCCTTTTTTGGGGGCTCTGAGCAGTGTTCTCTCTTGTCACGGGATGCGGGCAGTGAAAGGAGAAGCCGTCTGCTTGGTGTCCTCTTGTGCTGCTGAATCTTGCCTCGTGTCAGGACTCATTACCTGGAGCCCAGGAACAGGGCAGGGCAGTCTGTCTCGTCTAGGCTGAGAGTGACGATGAGGAGTCTGCAGGTGACTTTGAAGATCATGATGGTGGGAGTGGGGAAGGGACTGTCCCTCTGACGTAGACTCAAAGAGGGAGCCTCAGGCACCCACTTCAGAGCAGTGCAGGGAGACCAAGCCCATCTGGCAGCTCACCGCTGGGGACCCACAGTGGGGGTCTTTGAGATCCCCTCAGGCTGTGTTTGAGAACTCTTGTGGATTGTAACCTATTCTTTAAAACAAACAAACAAAATCCAACAACCTACGTGAGCAAATGAGAGACCACCTGCTCCTTGCGCTTGTGGGACCCACTCAGAGAGGGTTAGGGTTTCAGCCCCACTAGCCAGCCACCTTCACCCAGCCTTGCTGAGTCCCGTGAAGGACCCTCAGCACCGGTGTCTGAAGTAAAGTTTCATTTTAACCAGCCAGCTGGTTCCAGGGTGATTACCCTAAGTATGGCAGCCAGGGACAATGCGGAATTACACAGCGATAATCAGTTTCGTTTGTCAGACACCCTGGCTCTCAGAGGATGCTGGGAATTCCCACGAGTACGGCAAACAGCCCCCAAGGGCACCCAGAAGCTATGGGGTCCCCAGTGCCAGGAGGCCGGGGGCAGGCAGCCCCCGTGAGCCCCTCCTTGGCTGAGGAGGGCAGGAGCTCCCTGGGTGCTCACCTCCACGCGTGGCAAAGCTTTCAGTCCTGGAGGAGCATCCAGTGCTGGGGCTGACACAGCAGGCCTCAGAGATATACCCCCAGGAAGCGCCCTGCACGAGACGCCTAGGGGGTGAATTGCCAGCACTTCAGAGAATTCCTGTCTCCCGAGTCCCAGGGCTCTGGAGACCCCTCAGTGTGGATGCCCCTGGAAGGACAAATGGCCTTGGTTCCGCAGGGCCTCTCCCCACCGAGGCAGCAGCAGCGTTCAGAGAGCCTGGATTCCCGAAGGCCCCAGAATGCTGAGTGCCAGCCAGCGCAGCCTCGAGGGAGCGAGCAGCCAGGCAGGGCTCATGGGGAAAAGCCAGGCCGGGACTCAGGCCTGCCAGGTTGGCATCCTGGATGCCGAGTCAAGACCCGTTATGCTGAGGCCCACGGCTGAGAACAGTCCATGATAAGTATCTCAAAAGAGGCACCGGACACCCCAAGACTTAGGAAGAGGACCTAGAAGAGGGAGCAAGGACCTCTTTGAAGACAGAGCAACTCGGTGGGGTGTCTGCCCCCCACCCTCCTACCACCCTCCCTCCCCCGGCCCCTCCTGGGTATGTTGAGGCAGGGCAAGGCTCAGGCAGGCCTTCTGCTCTGTCCTGTGCCCAGTGTGACGAGATTTCTGCCATCTGACTGTCACCTGGAACAGCCTAAAGACGGGAGGCGGGGAAGCAGCCCGGCAGCAGGGCAGGGAGAGGACTGCACTGGGCGCTGCCCTGCAGAGTTTGGCAGGACAGTCGTTGTGGTGTTTGGGGGTGAGGGCGGTACCACAGAAGGAGCAGAGCCAGAGGCGTCTTGAAAGCCCCCTGCCCAAGAGGACCACCTACCAGGCATGGTAACCTTGACGGAGGAGCCAAGAGGGTCTCTCGGAGAAACAGGGGCCCCGAGGCAGTTGGGGGAGCGGCCTGATGCCGGATTTTTCCCCAAGCCAGGGCCTCCAGTTCTGAGCCCAGGCTGGCCGACACCTGACCGAGGCCTTGTGAGCCCCTGAGAGAGAGCCCATCTGAGGCTGCCCGGGCTTCTGCTTGCGGAACTGGGAGATGCTGAAAAGTGGTGAATTAAGCTGCTGCGTTGTGGTCATTTGTTACATGGCCTGAGAAAACCGACACAGCTCTGGGGGCTGCTGTGGAGATCCTGAGGCTCTGTGAGGCTGAATTTGGAGAAGAAAGAGAGCTGTGTGCAGCCGGGTCTCCACTGTAGCCTCCCCCTTACTGTTTATAGCAAAGCAACCCTCAGCCAGGGCCTTCAAGACAGCTGACCACCAATTACATGGCTTGGCTTGGCTTGGCCCTAGCTCCTGTGTCACTAGCAGACATCATCTGTAAGAGAAGCGGGAGTTGGGGGGAGTGGTCCCCTGTGCAGTGGCATGAGGGGCCTGTGGCCCGGCCAGAGCAGTGCAGCAGGACAGGGGCCAGGCCCTGGGGTCTTCCCCAAAGTGCGCAGTAAGAGTCTGCACGGCGGGCCCCGTCCTCCTGCTCCAGGGTCTGTGAGGGGGGAGGGCAGGCTCTTGCTGCAGGAGGAGGAAGTCGGAGGGGCTCCTGGATGCGGTTTGCCTGTGGGTTTACACGTTTATAAACATAAACTATGGGCCCGAACTCCAGTTTGGAGGCGGCCTCAGTAACCCCAGGAGAACAAAAGCCACCTCTCATCCAGGCTGAGGGCCTGCTGTCCCGGAGGCCCTGTGCAGGCAGAATCCGTGATGGCATCTGACCCCGGCACAGGCCCACTCAGGAAGGAGGCCTACATTGAGCCTTGCTGTTGGCGTCTGGCCGCTGCCTGGGAGGTGACATTTGTCCCAAGCACTGCCTACCAGATGCCCCGCCCACCCTGTCCGAGCCCTGCTCCCGGGCCTGCAGCTGACAGGGAGCTGGGAGGTGGGTCTAGGGAGACCCAGTCCCTGGAGCTGGACGCAGAGAAGGCAGCAGGTACAGCCCAGGTCCCTTCATGGCCCAGAGCAGGAAGGGGCGTCAGCAGGCTCTTCTGTGAAGGGCCCAATGGTGAGTTGTTTAGGCTTTGCTCGCTGTACAGTCTCCAGAGCAGCCGCTCAGCTTCAGTGCCACAGACGCAGCCACAGACAGACGCAGATAAACGCATGGGACAGTGGAGTGTGGTGAACCTCCCACCCCCAAGGTCATGGCACTCTGTCAGCAGTAGTCCTGGGTCCCATCTCCGGGACAGGTCGAAAGGGCATCCCCACCCTCTGTCCCCAGGGCGGGAGGCTGACGTCACCACAAAGGAGGCTCAGCCCCGGCCAGCCCCAGGGTCATGTCCATCACATTCGGGGGAGCTTGGCCCCGAGCCCCAAGAGTCAATGCTGACATGCTCAGGGAGCCACCTGTGGCCACAGTGCCCAGGAGGGCGTCCAGGTGAGCCACGGGGAGGCTCAGAGACCTGGGCCCATCCTCAGCTCCGGGCATCCTCCTGCCAACTGGCCGTGACCGTCTCCGCCCTCCCAGGGCAATAGAGGAGATACGTGCAGATGCTTGGCCAGGGTCTCGGGCTGTCGTGGGGGGCACAGTTACATCCAGGGGGTGCAGTGTGGGAGGGTGGGAGGGCTCTGGGAAGGGGCCTGGAGTGGCTGTACCTCTTTCCCATCTGGGAACCCGTGTTCCCCTGCAGGTGTGACGAGAGCTGCTTGAGCTGTGAAGGCTCCAGCAGGAACTGCAGCCGGTGTAAGACAGGCTTCACACAGCTGGGAACCTCGTGCATCACCAACCACACGTGCAGCAATGGTGAGCATGGGTGGGTGACCGCCCTGAGCTACCTCGGGGCTGCCCCAGGCAGAAAAGAAAGGAAAAGAAGATGCAGGGACCGCAGTCCCTTGGACAGCCCTGTGGCCCCTCCTCTCAGTGACCACTTGGCTCTCCCCTGGGCCTCCTCCCTTCCCTTTAGGCCTCTCACATTGACCAGAGAGGCATCTCCACCACCAGCGCAGCTAGTGCGGGTTGGTCCGTTGAGTAACTCTTACAAATGATTCTGTTCTCGTACCGTTCCCACTCTCCTGCCATAAGCCCAAGGTGGCCTGGGTGTGGTGACATGCGTTAGGGGAGGCCAGACCTTGGAGGTCAAAGTCAGGAGGCCTGAAGGCTCTCAGCCTCCCTGAACATGTGTCAAGGCCCGCGTGTCCATGGGAAGGACCTGCCTCTGTGCTGTGGGAGAGCCCTGGTGCTCTAAGCCGACAGAGAGAGGCAAGGATGGACTGTGAAAACAGGATCTCAGAGGAGACCAATTTGGGGATTCTGGGCAAGAGAAAGTTTGGCAGAGGACTCTGGCCTGGAGACCCAGTGCAGGGGCCGTGGGCAGACGTGCCATGGCGAGAAGGAGCCTCCATGGCTCAGCAAGCCTAGGGAGGAGCAGCCTGGGGCTGGCTCTGGGCACTGTGAGCAGGCAGGCGTGCAGGAGAGGGTAACCGCCAGTGCCATGCTGTCCGTGGGCACGGAGCTGGCACCGGCCCCGGCCTGGCAGAGCGTGAAGCCCGCAGAGAGCACCCTGGGCACGCCCTGTGGACCACAAGGTGGTTTTCTTGGCTTGCAGAATTATGTCCCTTCAAAGGCCAGGAAGCTCCTGATTTAGGAAGCCACCTCCTTGGGTTATGTATCCAGCCCGAGAAAGTGAGGCTGTCCCCGGGGGGGGGGGGGGC